GGCAGGGTGCACCGGCCGCAAGAAGCACAAGGTCCACGAGCGACGCTGCGGCACCGGGGAGGGCTGGGACACCCCCGGCGGGGTGCGGGGGCGCAGGGGTGACCCCGCACAGCCCCATCCCTTGGAGCACACAGCCCTGGGCAATGGGGGTGACTCCGAAAGAAGGTCCCCATCCTGGAGCCAGACTCCAGCCGAGGAGCCTGGGGGGCTGTTTCGGGGTTCGGCGACGCTGCCCCGGTGCTGAGCAGGGCGGGGGGGACCTGGTGCTGCAGACCTGGAGCCGCTTGAAAGCTTGGGGAACCAGGCAGCTTTCTCCAGCTCCCGTGGAATCACCTTCGGGAGCTGCGCTCGCTCCTTGCAACCTCGCCAAGGATGCCCATCGGCAGAAAGGCTCCTGTTTTCCTCGGCTTTCAAACGGGAGGTGCCCACCCCGCCGCCCCTTTGCACCTGCGGAGGATTTGGCCCCAGCCGGCTGAGCCGGGGCGCCGGGCTCTGAAGATCTCCGGGTTCTTCCTCGTGGGCATCGCCTGATGTGGTTTAAGCGTTTCAAGGGGAAACCGCAGATGCTGAGTGAATCACCATCGTTTCCCTTCAAACGCAGCTTCGGCTAATTAGCCCGAGTGGCCTGGGAGCCTGGTGCGTGGGTCAGGCTGGGCTCTGCTCTCCCCACAACCCCACTGGGGAAGGGGTCTGCAGCCCTGATGGGGTGGGAGAGGGGCTCCCACCGCCGCCAAGCCCCATCCCGGCAGGCGCCTGAGTCGTCCCGAGCACTGACTCATGCCGCCATCCTCCGCTTGTGCAAAGGAGAGGAAGAACCAGTCCGGACGGCCGCGGCAGCCCCCGCACGCCGTGGGTGTAGCGCCCGGAGACGCCGGGGTGGCTGAGCCTCGCTGGCCCCGGGCAGGGAGAAGTCCGGGCAAGCAGAGATTGGTGGTGACATGCCCATGGGGAAGGGTGGCACGTTGAGGTGGAGGGGGGTATGGCAGCTGTAAAGGGGGTATTGCAGCTGCGCAGAGGGATGCAACATCTGGATGGTGGGGTCTCACGCCTGTATGGTGGGGTCTCACACCTGTATGGTGGGGTCTTACGTCTGTATGGTGGGGTCTTACGCCTGGATGATGGGGTCTCACGTCTGTCTGGGGTGGTCTCACATCTGTACGGTGGGGTCTCACATCTGTATGGTGGGGTCTCACATATGTATGGGGTGGTCTCACGTCTGTCTGGGGGTCTCACATCCATACAGTGAGCTCGTACGTCTGTAGGGGAGGGTCTCACGTGGGTGTGGAGGGGTATCGCATTGATGAGGAGGTTTATCACACCGCTGCGGAGGGCTCGAACATCTGCAGAGAGCACTGACGTGTCTCCTCGGGAGGGGTGTCCCATCTACTCGGGGGCTTGTCCCGTCCGCCTGGGGGATGTCCCATCCATCCAGGGAGGTGTCCCAACTGCTGCTCACCCTCTCTCCACCCCCCGTGCAGGACTGCCAGGAGCTGACTGACGTGGAGCGGGCCATCGAGACCGTCATCAACCAGTTCCACTGCTACGCAGTGAAGGGGCAGAAGGAGTACCTGACGCCCAACGAGATGCAGGAGCTGGTGGTGCAGAAGCTGCCCCACCTGGGGAAGGTGAGGGT